CTTGCTTAAGGAGCCATAAGAAGCATTAAGGAGTCATTATAAGCATTAAAGTGTAACCCTAATCCACCAAAGAGTGTCAAAAACGGCTAGGAGGCTTTATGAAGCAAATAGTAACGTTTTAGCACTTATGAAGCCTTAAAAATGTTGCCCTAGTCTTCATGCAACCTTAATTCAATTTGTGGGTTACCATGCACAACCCAACCATTGAGCCCAAACCACCTTCTAGCCCACTAGTAATCACTAATCCATCAACATTTTGGGCTTTCATGATCGATGCATGGATCATCCCCTCCCCTTTGAAAGGAATTGACCTCAATTCATCAAGTCCATCATCATCAAGATAAGGTGAAAGATTCCCACATTAAAGGTAGCATGCACTCCATGGTCTCCTCCTAAATCTACCTTGTAAGCATTATCATTGACACGCGACACCACTTTATAAGGACCTTCGGCTCTTGGCATTAACTTGTTTTTCCTTTTGTTAGGAAAACGTTCTTTCCTCATATACACCCACACCAAGTCACCATCTTGAAAGACACGTGGTTTCCTATGCTTGTTTGACTTCTGTTTGTACATCTCATTCACAGCTTCAATCTTCTCACGAACTTGTTGGTGTAGTTTCATCATGGCCTTCAACTTGTCATTAGCATCCTTGTGAACCAATTCATCCTTTGGTAATGGAATCAAATCCAAAGGCATGTAAGGATTCACACCATACACCACCTCAAAAGGAGAGTGACCTGTAGCATAAGTAGGAGAACGATTATAGGCAAATTCAGCATGTGCAAGTTTGATGTCCCAATCTTTTTGAGTTTTGCTAAACCAACCCTCTCAACAAAGCACCCAAAGTTCTATTAGTAACCTCCGTTTGCCCATCCGTTTGTGGATGATGGGATGTACTAAAAAGTAACTTAGTACCCACTTTCCTCCATAAAGTGTTCCAAAAGTAACTTAGAAATTTGGAATCCCTATCAGAAACAATTGTTTTAGGAATACCATGCAAACGAACCACCTCTTTAAAATACAAATCAGCCACATTAGATGCATCATTGGTTTTATGACATGGCACAAAGTGAGCCATTTTTGAAAACCTATCCACCACCACCATAATGGAATCCTTCCCCCTTTGAGTTCTAGGCAAAGCCATAATGAAATCCATGGACACATCTTCCCAAGGACAAATAGGAACCGGCAAAGGAGTGTAAACACCATGCTTGAAAGTTGTTTTCGCCATATGACATGTAACACACTTGCCCATTATGTTGGTTACATTCCCCAACATCTTCGGCCAAAAGAAATGTTCTTTAAGCACCTGCAAAGTTTTGGTAATGCCAAAATGACCAGCCAAACCACCGCCATGAGCTTCACGAATCAACAACTCCCGTATTGCATGTTTTGGGACACAAAGGCGATTTCCTTTGAATAGAAAACCATCTTGAATCACAAATTCACCATTAGGACCACCTGCACATTTCAAAAACATATCTCCAAAGTCCATATCATATTGATAATGGTCCTTTAGAGTTTCAAATCCCAAGAAACGAACATCCAAAGTCACCAATAATGAGTAACGCCTCGAGAGTGCATCAGCCACCACATTGCTTTTGCCATCCTTGTATTTGCATGAAAAATGAAAGGATTGCAAGAACTCCACCCACTTTGCATGTCTTGTGCTCAACTTTTGTTGCCCATTGATGTACTTCAAGGATTCATGATCAGAATGCAAAATAAAATGATTTGCACGCAAATAATGACTCCAATGATCTAAAGCACGAACAATAGCATAAAACTCCTTATCATAAGTGCAATAATTCAAACGAGCACCACCCAACTTTTCAGAAAAATAAGCAATAGGACGTTTGGATTGGATCAAAACAGCCCCAATACCAACTCCACTTGCATCACACTCCACTTCAAATGGCTGAGAAAAATCTGGAAGAGCTAAAATAGGAGCATCACACAATAATGCCTTGAGTTTCTCAAATGCCTTTTGAGCTTCTTCTCCCCATGCAAAGACTCCTTTCTTCAAACAACCTGTCATGGGACTTGCATCTTCAGATTTTCTCTTAGAAAGATGGTTTGTAAAAAGATGGATACCATCCTTCTTCTTTCGTTCCCAACAAACTTCACGCCATTGGTCTTGGTGTTTTTGAACAATGAATGAAGAATTAATGAAAATATGTTTTGTTTGTGGACAACATAGAAAATGGGCATAAGAATTGCCACGCAATGCCTCTTTTGGTGACTGATTGATACCACCATGAACACATATTTTTTTGGAAATCATCATAATGTCTTTTGAAGGGTACAAAATTCTGCCATCATCCAAAAATAATTGGTCTTGCTGTTTTTGAGCCATGAATGAAAAGTCTCCATCTCTAATTGCACAAAACTTTTTATCAAAAGTAATACACAAGTCTTTTTTCTCCTTTTGATCAATGAACGAAGACAAAACAAAAACATCATTATTAAGATCATAATTAGTAAAATCAAACCTCTCACCAAGGCCTTCAAAATGCAAAATATAAGCATTCCATGGCCTCCAAAGTGTAAAAATCTCCCACACTTTGAAACGAAAATGAAGATGAAAAACGAATAAACCTTCTTGATCAATGAAGCTTCCAATTTGGATTTCTTTAAGATCTTTAGAAAAGAAATTATGTTCATAAAACATATGAGAACCTGAATTTTTGTGACACTTATAGTCATTTGCTCTCGTGGTTGTAAGCTCTTGGAATGAAATTTGTTGTTCAACAAAAATCACAATTTCTTCAACAATTTTGTCCATATCAACAAAATTGATTTCTTCCACAATTGCTTCAACAAATTCATCTCCGATCACGAAATTAGTTTCTTCTTCAATTTCTTCAATAAATTCCTCTTCAACCAAGAAATTTATTCTTTCACAAAATTCCCCTTCTCCATCGGTGTCGTAGATGGGACCGGAATCTTCTTCCTCCTCTTCTTCAAATTTATCTTCCTCTATTTGTTCTTCATCATATAATTTGCGCAACATTTTTGGACAATAACTTCTGAACAACTGAAATAAAAAAATAGCAAGAATTTTTCTTGAACAAGAACTCAGTTACACCCAATCGGAACTAGGCTCTGATACCACTTATGATACGTGCATGGGCTTGATTTAGTGAGTAGGGTAGTGTTTAGGTAAATTAAGAGAGAATAGCAACCACAAATGATATGTGAATGGAAAGAAATAGATAGATTAGTATAGTAACAACTCAAGACCTATTAAGTTGTATACCGATGAAAACAATCCAAGACCTATTGGATTGAGTTCGTATCAAGTCAAGAACACGTCCCAACAAGATAATTTGAGAATTATAACAATAATTCAAGGTGAAAATAATGGTTCTTTGATTAAAATTCGTGCATTGCTTTTTCCATGCATAATTTGGCTTTATATGAAGCCTTTATTACAAATTTGGTGGTTACAAGCCAACCAACCAATTATTCATTAAAACTAGTAAATAGAAATTAAGGTAACTCTTGAAAGAACACAAAAAAAACGTCCATGAGACTTGTGAATGAAAAAAAAAACGGCTATGCTTGCTTAAGGAGCCATAAGAAGCATTAAGGAGTCATTATAAGCATTAAAGTGTAACCCTAATCCACCAAAGAGTGTCAAAAACGGCTAGGAGGCTTTATGAAGCAAATAGTAACGTTTTTAGCACTTATGAAGCCTTAAAAATGTTGCCCTAGTCTTCATGCAACCTTAATTCAATTTGTGGGTTACCATGCACAACCCAACCATTGAGCCCAAACCACCTTCTAGCCCACTAGTAATCACTAATCCATCACATTTTGGGCTTTCATGATCGATGCATGGATCAAAAAGGGTATACCTTTCTGTGTTAGAGTGGTTAAAGGTTTGGCGATCTTGGAAAAGTTCTGAATGAATCTTCGATAGTAGCCGACGAGACCCAAGAATTGACGAATTTCTGTGGGTGTCTTCGGTGCCGACCAATTCTCTATTGCTTTAATCTTGGAAGGATCTACGTTAATACCTTCTTCGCTTACTACGTGACCGAGGAAAGTTACCTTCTTTATCCAGAATTCACACTTGGAGAATTTCGCGTATAGCTTTTCGGATCTAAGGGTCTCCAACACTAACTTCAAGTGTTGCTTGTGGTCTTTTTCGTTTCGGGAGTAGACGAGGATGTCGTCAATGAACACGATGACAAACTTGTCTATGAAAGGATGGCACACCCAGTTTATCAGGTCCATGAACACAGTCGGTGCATTGGTTAGACCGAAGGGGATCAGTACGAACTCGTAGTGTCCATACCGAGTCCTAAAAGCTGTTTTGGAAACATCATTCTCCTGGACTCGTAACTGATGGTACCCTGACCGAAGGTCTATCTTTGAAAAGTAGTTGGCTCCCTGGAGTTGATCGAAGAGGTCGTCTATTCATGGAAGAGGATATCGGTTCTTAACGGTGAACTTGTTCAGTTCGCGGTAGTCGATACACATTTGAAAGGATCCATCTTTCTTCTTGACAAACAGTATCGAAGCTCCCCAGGGTGAGGAACTCGGTCTAATGAATCCTTTACTGAGCAACTCATTGAGTTGATTGGATAACTCCTGCATTTCTGCCGGAGCTAAGCGATACGGAGACTTTGCTACGGGGGTAGCTCCTGGAATTAGGTCAATACGGAACTCAACCTGACGTTTGGGAGGACTTCCTGGAAGCTCTTCGGGAAACACATCAGGAAAGTTACAAACTTCAGGGATGCTCGCGAGGTCTCTAACTTCTTGTTTCTCGTTGATCACATGGGCTAAGAATGCAATGCACTCCTTTCGTAGGAGCTTTCGAGCTTTGATGCAGGAAATGATATGAAGGTTGGAACTGGGTTTATCGCCATAGATTACGAGAGTTTGATCCAAAGGAAGATTTAGATGGATGGATTTTTCGTAACAAAGAATGTCAGCATGATTGGGACTCAACCAATCCATGCCAATGATAACATCAAAGCTCTTAATGGAAACTGGCATGAGATCTATAGGGAATGAGTGATCATTTAAGGTAAGTGTACAACCTAAGAATACATCATTAGCGCTTTCTTTCTCACGTTAGCCATCTCGACGGTAAACATTTCAGTTAGTGGTTGAGGATTAGGTTTTAGATTATGTTTGAATGCATGACTAACAAAACTCCTTTCAGCACCCGAATCGAAAAGAATACTAGCATATGAGTTGTCGAGAAGGAGCGTACCTGAAACAACAGTGGGATCAGCAACTGCTTCCTCCCGTCCCATGGTTAGAACCCTTCCGGTGTTATCAGCAGTTGACTTCTTGGGATAGTTCCTTTTAAAGTGTCCAACCTCTCCACAGTTGTAGCAGGCTTGACTAACACCTACTCCAGATGATTGGTTGGCTGATTGGGTAGGAGTTTTGCAGAATCGAACTGTGTGCCCTTTCTTACCACAGTTGGTACAGGATAGTTCTCGGCAGGGACCAGGATGATGATGGTATTTACACTTGTCACAGAGAGGAAGATTACCAGCATATTTACTGGTAGGAGTTGGAGCTGTAGATCCCACGACAGAAGCAGCAGCAACAGGGGTAGTAGCAGCATGTACTGGGTCCTGTCTGCTGTTTCTTGGAAGATCCTTGAGAAGATTGACCCTTCTTCTTCTTCCAAAAATTTTCTCTTTTCGCCACTCCTTTGAGTCGGCTCAGAAGTGGTAGTGATTTCCTTAACGTCATCGCTGTGATCGATCAGAGTTTGAGCTAAAGTCTTGGCACTATCATAGGTATCCGGACGAACAGCCAAAACATGACTCTTTGTCGGTTGGGATAACCCCCAAACGAACCTTTCGATCTTTTTGTTCTCAGGAGTGACTAATCCCGGGCAGAGAAGTGCGAGATCATCGAATCGGGAAGTGTATGCAGCAATGTCGGAACCTTTCATCTTCAAGTTCCAGAGCTCGTGCTCTAGTTTCTGCATTTCACCACGGGGGCAGTACTCAGCAATAAGAAGTTCTTTCATAGATTCCCAACCCATGGCATTGGCTATTGGTAAGGTCAGAGATTTGACTCGGCCATTCCACCAAGTCAAGGCTTTATCAACAAAGGTACAAGCCGCGAATTTAACTTTATCGGACTCCGCACAAGCACATATTTCGAAGATGGACTCGATTTTCTCGAACCATCGGGATAAGGAAATGACACCTCCAGCGCCATTGAAGGATGTTGGTTTCGCGTTCATGAAATCCTTATAGGAACCCCCTCTTTGGTGTCCCTGGCTAACTTCGGGGTTTTGAGATTGAGGACCACCTCCTTAACCACTAGGGTTCATTTGTGACATAGCTGCAACCATTGCAGCTGTCATGACCGTCTGGAGTGACGCTAGGTCAAATTGGGAAGGAGGTGGCGGCGAAGAAGGATTGTTGTTGTTCTTTGAGCTGGGTCTCTTTCGGGGAGGCATCTTGATCTAATAAGATCAAGAAAGAGAGGATGGTAAGTCCTCTACATTGAATCGATAGATATGGCAGTCATATGATCCGAATAAGCGATAAAGCAGGCAAGAGTTATCGAAACAGATAATTTATCGCTAAGATAATTTATCGGGATTGAGAAATACTCCCATAGTATTTCATGAATTGTTTACGACCATGATTCAATGTTTGGAATATTAGGGTAAGTTTTAGGCATGCCGCATACCACAGTCACTCCCAAGCACATGTCGGCCGTGTCTCGAATGAATATAGTTGGCCAGGCTATATTGACCCTAGCCACGACTACATAACTGCCCACGTTTAACCATAGTGCACAACACCCAATTACTTATGTTCTGTTCTATTTGTGGTTACGGATGACGACGGTTCGGTATACTTGTATACTTTTGAAAATACTTGTAGTTTGAAGATACTTTTAATTCAGAGCACTAAGGCCCTTTCAGTGTTTATAGTTTTATACCATGTAAGGTTTGGTATACTTCATTCACTATAAACAAGGGCTCTGATACCAATCTGTCACACCCCGAAAACCGAAGGCGGAAACATTTCCGGGGTTGACTCCACGTTGAGTATCAAATCCAATGCACATGGTAAGTAAAGTAAAACAACCATTACATTACATAATAAAGTTTTACAGTTGTTTCAAAAGTAAAGTTTGTACAGTTGTAATACATAGTATATATAAACAAAATGAAACGGATCTTCATGTACACCGTCTTCAAGCAAAAAGGATCTTCGGGTATCTGTTCTAACGCTGACCTGAGAACACAAGCGATTTGAAAATCATCATAAAGCTGGTGAGTTCATAAGCGGTTTTTGTTTGTGAAAATGTTTCAAGTTTCCTTTCTGTTTCTAAAATGCTATGTATACCAATAAAATCCCATATTTTCTTAAAGTTGATTGTAGTTTCACAAATGTAAGATGTAGTAAGTTTGTACACTGAAAACATGTCTACTCATGTGAAATGTATAGTTGGTTATCCGACTTGTTAAGCTGTTCTGTTTACTTGTCATGTATTACCAGGAAAGTCCCATACTTTCCTTATTGTATGTTACCAATTGTAAAAGATGTAATGTTATCCAGTTTATTACTCTTTTTAGATATGTAAGTGTGACCCAGGAAAGCCCCGTGCTTTCCTGCATGTTGGTTACTAATGTGAACGATGTTAAAGATGTAAAAGATGTAAGCGTGATTAGGTTTCATGTTTTCCCCAGGAAAGTCCTGTACTCTCCTGAATGTTAGTTACAATACGTGAAAGATGTAAAAGATGTAAAAGATGTAAGAGATGTATAAAGTGGTTCATTATTACTATAAATAAATCTCTGTTATCCTAATTGCGAGTTCCATAACCATACAATAGACTAAAACCTATGGCAATAAGTAGTCCACATACATATGACTTTCTTCACCCTTGAACCATTTTGGTTCGGCTGTAGCTAGCAGCCAGGTGTGGGGTAGTCAGCCCCCTATAGATCTATACACTCAAGTCACGCTCTCTAAATACCATAGATTCTGGTTATGGGTGTAGTCCTCCACT